AACACTTTTTTCTTATTTTAACATTCAGGATAAATTTGCCAATTAATTGAAAGTCATATAAAAAGAAACATTTCTTTAGGTTTTGTGGATGATGCTACAAATATTTCAAATATAACAAATAATGAGAGTAGAGAGATGAAGCAATCATGATGACTTGACGGGTTTTCAGTCACATCACAGTACCAGACCGACGCTTATGAACCTAATGTTTATTTCAGTTAATTTTAATTTTACATGAAGCTTCAAGATGTGTTTAAATTATAAATACATTTCCTTATTATGTTTTGCTGATAAACATCTAAAAGCATAATAAAACTTCGTAATTAAAAATATTCAAAGGAGATAAATAATTGCAGAGTAAATACAGAAAGACGTATATATCTCTCAGTTTACATAGGCTGAAAGTTTACTTTAATGTGTTCTCTACTGGTGGTCGACAGCTTTAAACCCAAAAAACTAACCAAGTAATTGAATACGGGGATCTGGCTAATTATACACCCCGTTGCGAGTAAAGGTACGAGGATCGAGCCTTCAAGACCCATACTGTTTTAACTTTTCATAAAAATGCAAAACAATTTACATGTGTACACATCTCGGTACATATAAATACACATAAAATTTACGTTATTATTGCTTAAACATGTGATAAGATAAGATAAGATAAGATTTCGTTCGGATTTTTAACCCCAGGGGGTTAGCCACCCAGGATAACCCAAGAAAGTCAGTGCGTCATCGAGGACTGTCTAACTTATTTCCATTGGGGTCCTTAATCTTGTCCCCCAGGATGCGACCCACACCAGTCAACTAACACCCAGGTACCTATTTGCTGCTAGGTGAACAGGACAACAGGTGTAAGGAAACGTGTCGAAATGTTTCTACCCGCCGGGAATCGAACCCGGGCCCTCCGTGTGTGAAGTGGGAGCTTTAGCCACCAGGCCACTGGGCCACCATTATGTACATTAAAGCCATTATTAAAAAATCTATCCTATTATTTTTTAATATCATGAATCTTAAAAAAAAATTTTAATCATTATAAATGATGTGAATCTGATGCAGTATTTTTTTCCATTAATGGCCGAATCGTTACAAATGTCTAAATTTTTTTTTTGTATTTTTTTCAACACTTCAAGACCCTTATGAGTTTAGCGCTTAGTTACGATTATAATAATAATAATGTTTTTTCATGATTACAACAGGAGAAATTAAACAGTTCTCTTATTCTTGAAGTTAAATTTGTTGATCATTCCTCCTTGTACACTATTAATGGAGTTTTCTGTCCCCAAATTTCTACTTGTGCTTTTATGATTTTGTGTATATCATATTTCTTATTGTTTCCTCTGACTAGTTCCTCGTTGCTTTTAAAAATAGATCCCTATTTCTCCATATGAAACATGTTACTTCCCTTCACCTATTAAATGTCCTTTATGTTACTGAGAAAAACCACAGGCATGAATAAGAGGTCCAAGTACTGAAGGTTACTGTGGGAGGGTGGAGTCACTTGTCTTATATAAAGTCCTGGACAACCACGCTCATCACATTGTCCAGCTCAGCTCCTACAGTCATGGTACGAGTTTACATTTTGAGAGAAGTTGTTTTGAAATTGCTGAACAATCATAAATTATATCATATGAGTTATTTGGAGTATTATCAAAACTCTTCTCGCCCCAGCGTTCCTTTTCAGTGACGGTGGTGTTGGTCGTGATGGCTGGTGTTTCTTACGGTGGACTTATTGGTGGTCTTGGGGGCTACGGCGGTCATGGTGGCTATGGAGGCCTAGGTGGTCTCGGTGGTCTTGGTGGCCTTGGAGGTATCGGCGGCCTTGGTGGATATGGCGGCTATGGTGGTTCGAATGGTTTTAGTGGCTTGGGAGGCTATGGTGGAGGATTTAATGGAGGATATGGTGAGCATTAAGTATTTTGGCTGTATTTCCTACTTATACAAATATTTCGGTATACTCTTAGTCTAAGCATATATAAAGATGTTAATAATATTATTTATCATTCCATAGGTGGACAAGGAGGACACACGTTTATACTGAGTAAGAGCCACGGTAAGTCATCAACACATGTTTGTGTTTTTTATGACAAATGTAACAATGTCTTGAATATACACTTACATGAAAGATGTTTTAATATTAGTTATTATGTTTGTTTACAGGAAGCCATGGGGCATTTGGCCAGGGCGGACAGCTTGGATTCGGCAAAGGTGGTGGATTCAACGAATTTGGCAAAGGTGGTGGATTCGGCGGATTTGGCAAAGGTGGATTAGGTGGACTTGGCTTAGGTGTGTACGGTGAACTGAGTTAGATTAACGTTTTTCGTTCACATTTTATTGATTATATGAACAAGGCCCTGGATTACAACGTGACCACACTGTAACAAAATATATCATTATTTCAGGCTACGGAAAGTAAAGCTTCTGGCATCATCTTGTCTTGACCTCGTCCAGCACCGCCGCCGTCATTCGTCCCAACTACTACTGGAATAAATTACTTGAAACATTTGTATCTTTTAATGACATCAGTTTTAGAAATCCCTTAATGACATTTTCAAATGAGTATTGCAAATAAAAAAATAAAAGTTTAATGAGATACTGGAAAAAACTGCAAAAAATACAAAATAGTGGACTCAGTTTGATTTACGTGTTCAATCACAAAGCAAGTATTATAATTTATTTTGGTTCCAGTACATACTCTAGAATTTAATTTTCGTTTTCGAGTCATTAAAAAAGTGATATGGTAAATTTTGTGGACGGTACCGCTAGAGCATATGGATACACCAAAAGCCTAAGAACTAGGCTCCAAAAGGGATCACAGGAGCCCATGTGGATTTATATCTACAATTCACTTATCTGTTGCGATCGGATTTAAGAAATTTGCTTAATATGCCTGGTATCTTATTTTCATTAATAAGATATCTTGACTAATCACAAACGTTATTATACTATCTCCATATACCTCAGTAAGTGAATAATTAAGCACATAGTGTTCAAGATAGTGACCATAGGGCTGGCCACATACGAATTTGATATGATCATCACCTGTGTGTCTGCCAAACTATCAGAAGTATTTGTAACCAAGCCTTGCTAATGCAACATCAATTAGTCTGTTCGTTACAAGTTTCTCCATAAACGTACTTATCCACGTTCATGTTACCATAATTGGTTATAGAGCTACTCCGGCTTCTAATTGCACTCCTACAACATTCAGTTTCATTATTTACTTCTCTCCTAATATTATTCCTAATGCTAGGCACAGACACACTAAGGTTATATTCTACATTTTCATTCAGGGCACTTTTTAAGAAAGAAAATCGAGTAATAGGCGATTTTTATTACTGGAACCAGTGGGAAGGTTGCGACTAGGAACAGATGAGCATTGTAATAGACTTTAAGGTCCATGTTAGGTCACTTCTTCATTGTGCTCCTTTTATATGGAGAGGAAAAGTTAACATTTACACAAATAATCCGCACATAGGAGAAAGAAACTTAAGACGACATTTCAGCCTGACTTGGACCACTAACTAGTCACATACTACTTAATGGTCCAAGTTGGACTGAAATATCGTCATAAGTTTGCTTTTCCTATGTGCGGGTGTGGCATGCCTCCCAGCCAGCTAACCGGGTGCTAAGGGTTTAACGATGTTATGGGGCCCCATCGTTAAATCAGTACCTTGGTTCATTAACCAATCACGGACGAGCCTGCCAAGTGCTGAGACGATGTGGTGTCACTCGTGGTCAGCATTTGCCAGACTGGTACAGCCGCTGGTTGAGCACGGTTATTTATCTCTTGATTACCGTGTGGTACACTTATACTCCATTCTTGTACATAGTGTACATACTATTAAATATTTGGTGAAGGAAAATACAAGTTAAATACTACTGCTGTGTTTATTTTCGCTCCAAACCCATTATGGCCAGGACAACAGGCCAATCATTACCTGTGTGCGTCATAGCGGGTTATATGTAAATTGTTCGAGTCACGGTACTGCACTTTTGTGTTCTTGCCATTTACCTTAGCTGACTAGTGAAAGATTCAAATTGACTCGCCTCATATTCCAGCCCAGTTGAGAGATGAACTCTCTCTCTGGTACCTATCACCACCGCACCAGCGATCCTCCATTAAGGATGGAGATCATTTTTCACCTCATGAGAGCGCTATTTTAGGATTTTAGGATGCTGCTACTCCACACAACGAGTTTAGTATTGACAAAATTTTGACCTCAGGTAGTGTGGTGGTCTAAAGCACCGTTGCTGATATTTCCCTCTGGCTGGGATATGAGGAGTGTGGTTCGAATCCTTCACAAGTCGGCTAAAATTAATATTGTTTGTTAATAATACACTAGTTTCGTGGAGTTATAGCAACCACTAATGAGCCCCGTCCATTTTAGCGTGATCACTACTACTACTCAATAATTTCGCTACTACTACTACCACCACATTTACTACTACTGCTATCACTGTTTACTAGTACGCTACTACTACTACTACTACTACACTACTATTACTATAACCACTACTAGTACTACTGCAGCTGCTGCTGCTTTCACCTAACTAGATTCCCTATAAAAGCCTCTTATGTCTCTGTTTTAGATTTATAAATCTCTTATGGGCAAAACGTCTATCAAATAAAGATACCCAAGTGTTACTCATTTGTCCTATCCATCATCCTACCCAGTAGCCTCGCCGTAACGAGAAATTAGGTTGAACATGTATACAATTAGCGACGTATGAGTATGGGCTGACCAGTATTTGCGAGTAGGCCTACCGTACTGAACTTTTATTTCATGTCAGGTCCATTTGTAGGAATTTACTATTTCGCTGGCTTCTGATTTAGGTCGAATTCTGATATAAATTTCCTAAGGGTGAATTTTAAAAGGACGTGTGGCTTCCATTTTCCCTGTGAGATATTAAAATTTGGAGTTGTGTTTACGAGAACTGATTGCATTTTTTTTTTTAGTTTTCCTTAGTAACTTCCACGGTAACTTAAGTAAATGAACCCCGGGTGGAATGCTTGACTGTATCATTATTGCTCTACTGAAGTATTCCAGCTCAGGCAGACACATTTCATGATCTCATTTAAACAACACATCCAGTGCAATATATTGTGAAGAGAAATATACTTAAGTTTTCTCCCACAGTAATACTTAGAATGGGGTAATGGCACGCTGTGGGTCATCCCCCACAGCAATTATTATTAAAAATTGTGTAACCACACACTGTAAGTGTTCCGCAGTGTAACTCCCATATAGAAGTTTGTAACTCCACTTTGAAGTCGTTCCCACTATGTCTCAGTCATAAAGAAAAGTGTAAGAGTACGCATCAGGTGAACCATGCGAACCAGTGGAGTCAAATTGGACAATTTTCGTTTTTAGAAAGAAATGAGAAAGCGCTCGTTAAGCAATATTGTTACCAACGAGTGAAACAAACTACCAAACAGCGTCTGTAAAATAAATACTTTGCGAATCTTCAGAATTAATTGAGACTGCTAGTGCAGCAATGGTGGGCGGGAATTAGTAGGTGTCAGGAGAAATTAATTTTTTCCTTATGCCAGTCTTCGTTTTATGATGACCATTTCAGTGGCGATTCTGGCCATTCGACTGAGGTGAGTTTTCTACTTAGTATAAAAATCAAAGGCACACAACGAGCTGTGTTCTAGGCCTGAGACAGCCATGCATGGACCAGAAGGCCTGGAGTTTATCTGGAGAGAGTTCCGGGGGTCAACGCCCCCGCGGCCCGGTCTGTGACCAGGCCTCCTTAGGTCAGTGTCCCAGGATGCGACCCACACCAGTCGACTAACACCCAGGTACCCATTTTACTGATGGGGAACATAGACAACAGGTGGAAAGAAACACGTCCAATGTTTCTACTCTGGCTGGGAATCGAACCCAGGCCCTCACCGTGTGAAGCGAGAGCGTTAACCACCAGGCCACCAGAGCCACAATAGTATCCAGTTCACATATTGAGTGTCTGCGGTTCGATTCCTGGTACGGATGGAAACATTGGAAGTATTCCTTTAAGACACCTACTGTCCTGTTCACCTAGCAGCAAGTAGGTACCAGGGTGTTAGCCGATTGGTTTGGGTCTCATACTGGAGACAAAAGTTAACCTAAGTTGTCCGAAAAGCTCTGCATAACCAGGAACTGTCTATATAGTGTGTCACCGTTGTCAGCTGTAGTCTAAGTTGCGTTATGCATTTGTAGAAATAAAGTTTATTATTATTATTATTATTATTATTATTATTATTATTATTATTATTATTATTATTATTATTATTAATAATATGATTATTATTATTATTATTATTACTATTACCAAAAATTCATGTTGTAGCAGAACGTCTTTCACAATAGTGAATTAATAACGTTGACTAAATTAACTTAATTTTGTTTTGGACTCCCAAAATATAAATCAATTTCTTGAAAATTTACTGTAACTTAAATGTATCATAATTTAACCTTTGTGAAAAAAAATAATTTAATTACCAAAGTAAATCTAGTATATTGCAACTTTTACAAAACTTAATTTTATGTTTTATTTTTACCAATAACTTGGTAAACTTAAATTCTTAATTTCCGATGATCCTTCAAAAATGTCAGAAAAAAAAAGGATTTACAAAAATAATGTCAATAAAAATCATTCATATTTCAGGTAATTTATTATGGTAGTAGTTAGAAAGAGTGAAAGTAACGATGCTGGATGTTGTCAAGAAACAGCACTGCCAGACGCCCTACTTCCCGTAGCCAAGTCCTCCTAATCCACCTTTGCCAAATCCGCCGAAACCGCCACCTTTGCCAAATTCATTGAATCCACCACCTTTGCCGAACCCAAGCTCTCCGCCCTGGCCAAATGCTCCATGGCTTCCTGTGTACAAACAAGAAAACCATAATAATTAATGTTAATTTTTTTTTATACAAGCACATTCCTAAGACATTGTTGTAATCGTCATAAGAAAAGCACAAACAAGTGTTGCTGACTTACCATGGCTCTTACTCAGCACAAACGTGTGTCCTCCTTGGCCACCTATGAAATGGTAAAAATATATTATTAATATGTTGATACATTAATAAGACATACATATATTTAAAAAATGTATACGCATGTAAATATAATCAAAATAATTAATGCTCACCATATCCTCCATTAAATCCTCCACCATAGCCTCCCAAGCCACCAAAACCGTTAGATCCTCCATAGCCGCCGTATCCACCAAGGCCTCCAAGACCACCAAGACCACCAAGACCACCAAGACCGCCAAGACCACCATATCCACCATAGCCACCAAGACCACCAATTAGTCCACCATGAACACCAGCCATCACGGCCAACACCACCATCACTGACAGTGAACGCTGAAAAAGAAAGTAATCGTTTTTACTGCAGAAATACACACACACCACACACACACACACACACACACACACACACACACACACACACACACACACACACACACACACACACACACACACACACACACACACACACACACATATATATATA